TCTCTCTCTCTCTCTCTCTCTTTCTCTCTCTCACAGCCTGTCTGTCTGTCTGTCTGTCTGTCTATCTGCCTGTCTGTCTGTCTCTTTTCTGCCCTTTCCTCTCACCTTCCCTCTATATCTATTTCTCCCCCACCTCTCTTTCTCTTTCTCTTTCTCTCTCTCTCTCTCTCCCCCGTCTCTCTCTCTCCCCCTTTTCCTTTTTTTTCTTCCTCTGTATCGCATGGTTGTTTAAGAAGAGAAGCCTGTGAATCATCGTTTTATTGTTCTTATTGTTCGTGATTAAAAGCAACAGAAAAAAGCAAAACAAAACCGTAAAAATTAAACAATGAGTGACTGTTATATTTTAAGTGGCTGTGCCAGTGTGTGTGTCAGTTTGAAAGAACGTTCACTAAAAAGCTCAAAAACGTTTTAGCGACTGGCAAATGTTGTGTTTATTTGAATTTGTTGATTTGTTATTACAATCTTTATTTGTGGGGAATGTATGAAGTATGTTACAATGATAATTGCCAGGGGCAGCAATTCAGTTAATTTCATGTATTTATAATAAGAAGAATTACTTCCCCTTTTCAGATTCAACTTCTGGCACCAGGGCGACTGGCAGGAGGTGGTGGTGGATGATCGTCTGCCCACCTACCGTGGCCAGCTGGTCTTCATGCACTCCACAGAGAAGAACGAGTTCTGGAGCGCCCTGCTGGAGAAGGCTTATGCCAAGTGAGGAGTTATTGTAGAAATGTTGTGTCATAGTGTTTTAGTAGGGTTTTTTTTGTTTGTGTGTGTAATATGCCTAATTTACGAGTTGTTTTAACTCTTTATCTCTGAAGGGGATAAACCCAACACGCCGGGGCCCTTTTTTGGTACTAATTCTAAAAATGACGAAAACATCACTAAATGGGTAATTGAATCGAAACTAGAGAGCCTATTATGATTATGATAGTACTTCATCTAATGAATGAACTTCCGGTAAAAGAAACCTGTTTTCGGCAATTGCCGAAAAGTAATTTGATGTCGGAGTCATCGCAAAGGAATGTTCCCGAGCCGCTGTCAGTGGCTTTCCGGAGATAAAGAGCGAAGGAAAGTGAGCTTCAGTTACATAGACAGTATAGAGTTGGAGGATAGTTTATTTTCAAAACTAAACTTCGATCTCATTGATAGAGATAGAAATAGAATCTTCCTATGATGGGCTATAAACCCATCTTCATGCCCATGGATTTCGCTGTTTAATTCTTTAGTAGAAATTAGTGGACTAAACACAGTTTTAAAAAAATGATATTGTCTGTGTTGCAAGAAATGGATGTTTCCTCCAAAACTCAAATTTTATTCTAAACGCAAAAGAAGATTTGACATACTGATTTTTCTTTGATTAATTTTGCATTTAAAGTAAAAGCTATATACTGTGCCATCTAGATCTCAATCTAGTCAAGAAAAGTTGTCTTCATTTCGCAATGAAAGATTTGAACTATTAAAAATGCTTGCTGTTAGTGCAAGCCATTAAGTAAAAGTTTTCTTTGGGTTAAACTTTGTGCTTCTTTATCCAAGTTTTGATAAGATAAAAAAAATAAAGAGAGTTTGTTACTGTTTTAAATTTGTCTGGATTTTGTACACTGTGTTGTTATTTTTAATAAATCTCGAGAGATTGCATACACCACCGGTTACATGTGACATTGAAAACTTACGAGCTGCAATTTTGATATTTTTCAGGTTGATGGGTTCATACGAGTCCTTGAAAGGTGGCAGCACCAGCGAGGCTATGGAAGATTTCACGGGCGGTGTGACTGAGATGTTTGAGCTGCAGGGTGCTCCCCCTAACCTGCTGCGCATCATGATCAAGGCCTGCGAGCGTGGCTCTCTCATGGGCTGCTCTATCGATGTAAGATCTGATGAAATGAGATAATGTATGAGTGAGGCATTGTGGTGAAATCAGGCACTCGTCAAAATAATGAAATTAAAGAAACTGACATTTGTCCGCCTGTTTGGACATTTTTATGGATTTGTCTTTGTTGGGCTCTACACGTTTTATATGTTTTTAAAACGCTTTTATATATGGAATTTTCTAAAAGATGATGACCGAGAGCACCAAAAATGTAAATTTCCAGTTTCCAAATTCTCTCAAGCTATGGAATTCACCAAACTTTGGTGGCCATTCTCTTGCTTATTTTACCTCTGAAACTGGGCAACCCCCACCTCCTTAAATCAGCAATATCTTTGCATTTATTCAAGATAAATAAGTATTTTTTTCTTTAAAACGAGACAAATGAACAAGCTTTAATATGATATCAATAATTCCTCAGGCTCAAAAATTGATGAGCACCTTATTCCACTTTGTCTTGACGCATATATCGTCTCAGTTTCTAACTCTGAACTGCCTGTATCCGCCAAATTAGGTTAAACACTTCTTTTGTCTGACATCATGTTATTCACAACCGCAATTACAATTGTTGATAAAATAAGTAAAAAGAACATTGAACTCAAAGTTTTGAGCAATTGTAGAAGTTTGTGGGAAAGAATAGAATTCTCTCCCCCCCCCCCCCCACCTCTCTCTCTCTCTCTCTCTCTCTCTCTCTCTCTCTCTCTCTCTCCCCCCCCCTGGAAAAAGTGTTTGATCTAATTTGGCAGAAACACAGTTACTGTCAGACTACGCACTTTCTTTCCTTCTGATGTTTATGTCTGTCTGTCTTGCTTTGTCCTTGCACTTAATATAGTAAGTGTCTGTGTGCTCTGCGGCATGCTGTTTGCACTTTACAGGTATTGCAAAAATAAAACTGAATGATACAATGATGTTCTTTCAGGCTGACCCAAACCAGCTTGAAGCTGAACTGGCCAACGGACTCATTATGGGACACGCTTACAGTGTGACCAGTGTCAAATTGGTATGTATACACCTATGGTGATATTTCTTTTGTTGCTTCTGGTCGCTTTTAAGGACAAGCGGGCCTACCCAGATTTCATGTGTTTCGAGAAATCTTGACCTACACCAAAAGTGGGCATTGCCATACCTATAGGAGAAGTTTGGTTTCATTGGTGTGTAGGCCTATATTTATTTGGTTATAGAGAAAACTCTCCTTGTCTTTTAAAGAAACTGAACTAGGGGCAAAAGCTTTACCTTCGATATTCTCAAAACAGCATTTTGTGGGATAGTTCCCTTGTGCTTAAAAGCGACCATCTCTGTTTATTTGTTGTCAAAACTGTGTTTGTTACTCTCTTGTAACACCTTTAATCTTCCTTATTGTGTTGCAAGTGCTGTAAAACTCGTACTAAAACAGAAGCAATTGATGAGTGTCACTCAGGTGTGTTGTGTAGCTGTGCTGTGTCCTGTGTCCGTTCACCTAAGTGAATTGTCGTCGGTCACTGTCAACCACTCGAACGAATAGTATGGTTTTAAAAATTTAGCTTAGCTTTCCTTAGCTCCCCTTGGACAATGTGACATTTGAAGCATAAGGCTATGTGGGTACCCACCACCGCTTCGAAGCGCAGTGAATGTTTTTTGTTTTTTGTAGGCTGTAATATACATACTTAGCTCCCCTTGCCCAATCGCGACGAGTCGTGCATGGTTAGGGTCAGGGGACCGACAGTCGTGTTTTGATTTTAAAAAGACCAAAAACATCAGCCAGTCACCACACACGCTGGGTCTGTTAGGCTTGCACAATGCACATTGGGTTTGTAAGAGCAGTGGGGGGATGGCAGGGACCATTGAAATGAAAGATAGTGAGTATTATAAGCCATGCTGGCCACATGCTCACCTCTTTTTATTATTCCCCCTCTCCCCTCCCCTCGTGTCATTGTTGCCTTTCTTCGAACGTTTTACCACCGCGCTGTGCAAACCACGGCCACAGCAAGTGAAGAGGCAGGCATACACTTAGCTCAAAACTACTGGATGAGAAGTACTGTGAAAAGTTACAATTTAATAGTGAAAACTGCCGAAAGACTCATACCTATTCGCACGTGGTATTCGGATAGTGTGGATAGTGACCCCGCGCTTTGAAGCTTCGACGAAGTTTTTTTTCTTCTCAAAATCGCACAGCACTAGTGGATGCTAGTGGTAGGCTCTTTTTCTTTTCTGTCCCTTTTTTTGTTTCTATCTGTCTGTCTTACATTTTCCCTGCATTTAATGATTATCATTATGATGATGTGCTTCTCTTTATTCATACATGCTTATGTCAGTACAATAATAATGTTTAGCTCACAAATCATTGTTTGTAATTTTCACTGTCAGAGTTAAATATTAGAAGTATTTTTTCTCCCAATGTTCTGTTTCATAGTGTTGCTTACTTTAAGAACTTTTTTCCCTCTCCCAGGCTGATATTCAGACTGCAAGAATGCAAGGTCAAATACCTATGGTTCGAGTCAGGAATCCATGGGGCAATGGGTCTGAATGGACAGGTGCTTGGAGTGATGGGTAAGTGTGATTGCATGGAGACTGAACTTTTTCACAGTTTGGTTAAACAGAAAATTTGATGTCCAGCAGCGTTAAAGTGATGTCTGATTTCCACTTACATCATGTCTTGAATGCAAAAAGAATTCTTTTTATTTTATGAGGTGGGTGCAGTTGTTGTTGTTGTTTGTGGTGGTGGTGGTGTTTCGTTTCTGCTGTTTCAATTTACGGAATATTGGAGAGTCGACTGGCAGGTCCTACTTCTTTATTCCCCCCGTTTTTTTCTATCTTACTTTTTACCTGCACCAAATGACATCAGCACTATTTTACATCTGAAGAGGCTTTCCAATTTTCCTGTCTTCTCCTTTATTTCAGCTCACGTGAATGGAGTCTGCTCTCTGAAGAGGAAAAGGAAGAGCTTGGACTGAACTTTGAGGACGATGGAGAGTTTTGGTGAGTGATGTGCTTTTTCTCTTAATTGTTTTTGTATGTTTTGGATATTTGTTGGCACAGAATTGCTCCTTGTTATAAATGATTTGAAAGGATATTTTCATTCTCTATATAATATTTAGTGCATGCTTAATGAGCGCCACTGGTAGTTTCACTTCTTTTTATTCCCTCCATTGTTTCCGACTGTATAGCTTTTTTTCCCCTGCACTTAATAACTGTTATTGTGTCAATGGGCATCTCCTTGCTCAAACTCCTCAAAGCACAATATTAAAGTTTTTTGCTGTAAAAGTTACTCAGTTAAAAAACAAACAAACCATGCTTCAATGTTCTTTATTATCGTCCTGATTATATTTATTAGCTTTCGAGGGTGTTCTTGCTAAGAGTAGTAGTCAAGTTTTACACACGTTGTCTCTGCTCATTCAGGATGTCGTTCCAAGACTTCACGGCTAACTTCCAGAAGCTGGAGATCTGCAACCTGGGGCCTGACTCACTGGATGAGGAGGACCTGACGGACAAGAAGAAGTGGGAGTGTCACAAGGAACACGGACAGTGGATCAAGCCTGTCTCCTCAGGCGGTTGCAGGAACTATTTAGGTAATTTTGGGCTTGTACCCTCAGTCTCTTTGTTCATATCAGAGGTCTTATTAAACTCAAACTATGCAGGGGGTGCTGGAGGTAGAGTGTGGATGAGCCTGGGCCACATCAAATATTCCACAAAGAAAAGGTTTCAAGTGTTTAAGAAGAAAGTGTAACTGATCTAATCTTCTCAAGTTTTACTAATAGCAGTTCGGAGCTATCGGTGGTTGTCATAAGCCTGAGCTATGGTAGCCTATAAGTGATACGCAGTATAAAAATCCGGGCCAGCACCTCGCCAAAAGATGCGTATGAGGAAAAGATGTGGGTTGCACAGACACTAAGACACTAAACTGTGATGTTAAGTATGGGCTGCAAAATATGGTGCTGTAAGCCTCAATTGGGAAAATCTTCAGTGACTGTTTGTGTAGATGGCCGTATTGCACAGGTGGTCATCATGGCAGGTTCAACTGAATATTAAAAATCTATCTCTAGTTATTATTTACCCTTTTTAAAAAAATCGCATAGTTGCTGAGTAAGGCATCGTGATCAGACATATCAAGGTATAAATTCCATTTATTACCTTTCTTTGAACCCTTTAATTCCTGTGATGAAAGAGAAGCAGATTTTTGTTCAAACAGGCTGTTTTTTACTTACTGTCTTGTGGTTTTTCATGCAAGCTTCAAGTATTGCAATAATCCAACTAATTACATATTTGAAATTTTTCCACTACAGATACTTTCTGGACAAACCCTCAGTTCCGAATGACCTTGACTGACCCAGATGATGATGATGAGGATGACCTCTGTACAGCATTGGTTGCTGTGCTGCAGAAGGACAGACGCAAGAAGCGAAAGGAAGGCTTGGATCTTTTGACCATTGGTTATGTCATCTACAAGGTATAGTTTAACTCTTTATCTCCGGCAAGCTGCTTCCTGCAGCTCGAGCACTTTCCTTTACAATGACTTTGACATCAAAATACTTTTCGGCAAATGCCGAAAACAGGTCTCTTTTATCGGGAGTTCATTCATAAGATGAAGAACAATTGAAATAGGTTCACTTGTTTTGATTTAACAACCCGTTTTGTGACGTTTTTGTCATTTTTAGATATAGTACCACAGAAGGGGCCCGAAATAGTGAGTTTACCGCTCACGGAGATAAAGAGTTAAAAAGTCTGGTTCATCTTCACTAAAATACAGTAATGAAACATGTGGTTTGTCCTCTGTCATAAGTTTTGGTCCTTTGAACCAACATCTTCAGTGTAATGATTAAGTTCTACACTGCTGTATGCCAAAGATGTGTCTTCTTCAAGACTGATGTTGTAGTTAAGCACTTTGAAGAGACCAAACCACCTATTACATTTGGTTTAAGGATGATGAGAATTTTAATGTCTAGCTTCTTTCCTTTTGCATGTAGCATCAAAATAAATGCCCTTTAATTTTACTCTCACTCTTTTGTGCAGAAAGTCTGGAAAAAAATAAAGTGTTATATGTGTCCATAAGTTTTGTATCCTTTCAAGATGGTAAGCAACAGTTTTTGGGTTTTTTCTTTCTTTTTAAATATTTTTTAAATAAAACTATTTGCTGAAAAGCTTTCTTAAAAAAATATTTTTTCTGTTCTTGCATTTGTCAGTTGGAAGATCCTGATGTTGGTCCTCTGGATATGAATTTCTTCAAGTACAATGCGTCTGTTGCAAAATCACCAACCTTCATCAACATGCGTGAAGTGTGTGGCAGGCACAAGCTACCTCCTGGTACCTATGCCATCCTTCCTTCGACGTTTGAGCCGCACTACGAGGGAGACTTCCTGATGAGAATCTTTACTGAGAAGGCCAACGTTTCTGGGTAAGAAGCTTACAAGTTGCGTCAGTGACTGATCGCCAGTTGGAGCTTTGGTGAAAGTCTCTGTGAGGTGGATTTAATAATATTTGCAAAGGGTAGTTGATATAATTTCCTGTTTACCATTTGTTTTGAGTATAGTTTAGATCTTTGTGTTTGCCTGTTTTTTTGTCAGGGGTGGCATTCTCAAGCCTGAATCCAGTCTCATACAGGTGTAGGGACTGCTTTTGATTCAGTAAAAATTCTGTTAAGAGCCTATCTGGTCAAATAATTGACTGAAGATTTATATTAATGGTCATGAATGGGTTGAACGTTTATTGAATTGTGAACCATTTGTCTTGCAGGGAAATTGACGAAAGGACGAGTTATGAGGAAGAAACTGTGAGTAATATGTCTAGCTGTTATGATATAGCTTATGTAAAGTCATATCGTTTCGCTGCAAACCTACCCCCACTGTCTTCTTCTTGGCTGCTGTACTGCCACTGCTCCGCAGCTACTGCTCTGCTCTATTGCTGTTCTGTCACCGTTCTGTTTGCTTGTAGTGTCCCCCTGTTGTCACTCATCATTTCATCGTCCCCCCCATGTCTGTCTTTGTCATCCATCCGTTCATTCAAAGAATGATGTCTGGTTTTATATTCCTTTCTTTAAGTTTGATTCTATTAAGTTGATCAACAGTCCCAATGTTTTTAGCCATGCTGTTATCATTTTTCTTTGGTTATTCATGCACTAGAAGCCTGTAGTATTGATGCACTCACAACATATTAGTTACTTTCCCTTTTCTTCAGATGTCACCATGTATTTATCTTATATCCCGTTTCATCAGTGTCATGCCATTACTAACACGGGGAAACTGGTGTCAAGGAAGGGCGATTATGGATCATAGCTAACCTTTGGAGTAAGTTGAGAAACTGGAAAGTAAAGGGGAGGTTTGGAAACTCTGAAAATTTGGAAAATAGCCAGTTCTTTACAGTGTAAACAGCAGTCAAAGATCAGTCATAGGTGTTTATTTCTTCTACTTCATTAATGTAATGAGCTAGACCAAAGTTATTATTTTAATTAAAAATTAAATAATTTTTTTGTTGGGGGGGGGGGGGGGGGGGGGGGGGATGGTATTGATTCAAATAATAACATTCTGTAAAATCTTGAATATGTTCATACTCAGTGGCAGAGTGACTTGTGTCAAAGGAATCACAAGATCAAGCTTTAGAATACGTGAAAAGTTGATTTGATGTTCAACATGTCCTTTTTTTTTTTTAGGAAAGAGACTAAAATTACAGGAAGGTGGGTAGATTGTGAGCTGCTGTGGGATAAATGCTGAAGGGTAACAAAATATGTATATGGCAAAACTGTTAAAGAGAAACAGATAGATAGGCATGTGTCTTTTGAGGCATTTTAGCAGCAATCTGTGCTGCAAGGAGCATACAACTGCACGCAATCCACATGGACATTAAGGCAATGATGATAATTTTACTATATAACTAACATTCATATCGAGCATTTCCATTTGCAAAGTACTGCTAACAAGAATTTTATGCACACATACGTTCACATTCATGCGTGTAGTATACTTTCTTTAATAATGAATTCTTTTAACAATTTCAGCCTTTACTCTTCATGATCATATATATATGTATTTAGACATGCTTCACCTTTATCACCTTCGAGTCTTGTGAACCCACATTTTCATTTCTACTTTTCCTGATTTTATTGAAATATATTACTGGAAAATTGCTTTGGGTCAGTATGTATAAAAACAGTGCACTTTTCCATTTGGGCGTTAAAAAATATCTAAACCTCACTTTATTTATCGCCGAGCTGATTTTTCGCAAAAAGTATTTTTTGTAGAGGAGGCGCTTTTCACATTTTCATCTGGCCCTCAGTGCTTTTTAGTAGTATTTTTTGCTCCTATAGACTTTTTCTTATTTCGATTATCACTGCTACAGTCTTTTGTCAATGTATTTGTTACTGTTTAGTTGAAGCAAGCTCCGGCACGTGTACCCCAGAGACCTGTGGGAGTAAGTTGCTTGCCCCTGCCTGTGATTTTGTTTTATAGCCGGAACTTATTATTTTTCTGGAATTTGAGTGTTCCATCAGTGTTTGTTGTTGACAAAAAAAAGCAAGTTTCCCCCTAAATATATGCATGGTTTTATTGAATGCTCTTGTGATTGTTTCCCAGAGAAACTGTAGTCATTTTGTTGTCCGTTTTGCTGTAAGCAGCCTGTTTTTTCTTTAAAAATTTTTTTTTAAATTTTGAGCTTGTCCATTGCATGTATGTGAGTGACGTTTATACTTTCGTATTACTTTTGTATAATACTGCACATCCAAAGTGTTGACCCTCTGTTGAACTGATTTATGAGTTGTGGGAGCAGAAAAAAAAAATTTACTGCACTTCTTTAATTTGTTTTATTATTAATCTGCACACTTCACCACTCATGGGTCAATATTTTTCCCACTTACTCTTAATTCATTTGTCTATCCTGTGATCAACTCAGCCACAAATCAGACCCAAGCAATGAGTGGGACTAGTACATTACAAAGAAGAGTCCAGAGTAAAAGTACATAATAACCCTCCATTAGAAATTTACTTCACCTGTGCATATCTGGGGCCTCTGCTCTGTGTGGGTCCAAATGTGGATTGCTGTGATGATATGCACAGAAGACTTGTGGAACCTATTTGAAAAATGTGGGGTTCAGTTGGACTTTTACTGAGTCCAGATATAAGTTATTGAGTTGGATTAATGGGAGGCAATCATAAATAAATGACTGGGTCAGCACTTGGATTCACAACAGTGTGGATTGACTGTACTGATCCTATAAAGCATGCACGTCTTCCCACAAAGGTCATATCTTTCTCTACACAATATCGGCATGGATGAACAGTGAACAGCTGATCTGATGGTTGGATTCGCCGCTCCAAGAGTATACAAGGTTTCTGGATTTTCATCTGTGACATTCTTTGTAGTTTTTTAGTTTAAAAAAGTGTTCCCTCTGAAAGTGTTCGGATCTGGTTTAGTGTTTTTTAACTCCTCATAACAGCCTTGAAGTTTCGGTCTTGTATGTGGATGTATTCAAATGTGACGAGGGTCTTTACAATGTGCCAGATGGACGTTATTTTTGTCTGTTTTTGAGTGATGAAGGTAGGTTTCAGAGTATATAGAGGGTTTTATTTTTTCTCTATTTTACGTTCTACTGTTTTGCTTTGGATGTTCGTCATGTTCTCTTTGATCTTTTGTGGAGGATAGGCATGGCATTTCTCTTTCTCCTATTGGATATTCCTTCGAGTTTCCTCATCACTGGGAGAAAAATGTCCTGCCAGTTCATTTTGGTCTTTATGCCATTGAAAAGAGAATGGGAACAAGTTGTGTTTTACATCCTAAGAAGTTTGGATTTGATTGTTGGTCTAATAAGCTTAATCGGTGTGAAAATCTTTTAATTTGTTGTGACTGAGCATGACGTTTTTTAAAATCAGTTTTTAGTGGCGGGTGCTGTGGTTTTCTAATTTTTGTGGACTAAATTGTTTTACTTGAGTGTTTGGTTCCCTTCTCTTGGGAGATGTACATTAAGCAGATTGGATCGAGAGCTTTCCTTTGATACTTGTCTCTAGAAAAGCCCTTTAGTTGTTTTCTGATCTGTTCCTTCTCCTTTGTCTTTGACTTGACATTCTATTAGCAGTTTTCTGTGGTCTGCCTGTCCTGCAGCCCCAGTTAAGTTTGATCAATGATGGATCTCCAGTTTTATGTCAAGATTATTCACAGCCAGACATTTTAATTTGTCTTCAGATTCGTTTTCTTTTTGAACAGCCTTTTTGTTTAGCTGTTATTTAACTGGTTTATGTTAGTTATGGAAAGGACATTTTCAATACTCTATGCTTTCTGTGATCATAGTTTGGATGTTCCAATATTGTGTTGTGGTTTGGGAGAGAGTAAATTTCTACATACGTACTGGTTTTTTTCCTCTACAGTGTCTATCTCATCAAAATGGTTGTGTGTCCCCGTTTCTTTTTCTGATATTAAAACACAAATAGTGACCCCTCAAATAACAATATACAGGAAAATAACAGAATAATGTAACTTATCTATGTAGAATACTGTCATGGTTGTATTTTCAATGACTGAAATAACAAGTATTGTGTATGTTCTGTGCAGAAGTAGCATGGACTAAATGCTAACAAAATGATAATTACTGTAAATTGTGCATTATAAAACATAACTTACATCATGTTTTGAAGTAGGTAGTTTTTTGACCAGCATTTTGCTGATGGCAGTTCACGTTTAGATATTTTGAAATACTGCTTGTTTTAACTTCTACTGTAAGCGAATGACACCCTAGAATAACAGAAGCATCATATTTCAGTTTCATGAAGCAGTTGAATGTTGCATATCTATACTCATTTTGTGACTTTCACTACCTGACAATTTTATAGACACCTAACTTTTTTCAATGAAACTCTATGAACCATTCGTCTCTTGTTGATTATTGTCAAAGAAAAAGTCAGTACCACTGCGAGTATATGTGAGCGAGGTCAAGGGAAATATAATTAAAGTTTCTGAATTTCTGAGAATCTTTGCATTTGTGTCTCCTGGCCGGGGCCAACGAAGCAGGTTCCTCTGCCAGTCAAGCCGCTCCTGCTTATAGCGCTCCGCCACCCAAGGTAGAACTGGATTGCCTCCCCTACCTGTGTGGTCACCGTTGTCAATAACCGTCCCCAAATCATATAATGAGCCCCCCCCCCCCAAAAAAAAAAATAATCCCTAAAAACTAATTGTCAATACAAGTAATTTGTACCCTTTCTTCTGTTGGCCCTACATGTGTGGTGTGACCATCATTTACCGTCATCTTCACCAAATCACATAACAATAAAGAAAAAAAAAAAATAGGCCCTGATAACTAACTGCATAATTTGAGTCCCATATTCTTTTGATCTGATCACAATTTCTTCCTGAGATGTGGTCACGTTTGTCAATAGTCTTCCACAAATCACCCGTGTGGATCGATAACAACAATAACAACAACCACAAATCACTTAACATGCCAAAAAGAAAAAAAGACTTTGATAACTGTTAATAATTTGTACCCATTTCCTGTTGATTAGAACTGGTTTTGATTCTGAGATGTGTGTAATCTTTCCCATATCACGTAACTTCTTAAAGAAAGTCAGTAACAAACTCTGATAACTAAATGTTGATTTGTCTCTCCCCCCCCCCCTTAAAAAAAAATCCAAACTTAATTTCCTGTTCAGGTGTATTGCCATTTGTCATGACTGTTCCCTTTCAAATGATGCATGCTCTTTGGAGAACCCTTTGAATGAGTTACCAATGTTCAAGGAAAGAAAATTGTTGATTATTCAATGAAAATCATTACAGTAAACAGATCTATATCACCTTGATGAGAATTTCCTCTTTTAAGAAGTTGTTTTCGCAAACAGTAACCTTCCTCCAGATCCCATTCCACATGAAGGGACTTCTTTATGGAAAAATGTCTTTTTGGGGAATCTTTAGGGGTGGGGGGGACTTCTAGACGTGACTGGAAATCTGTTTATAATCTGCTCACTGTAATCTTTGTTCAGATGTCTGTTTCTGGCTTGTTGCCATTTAATTTGTTAATTTCCTTTGGCAGTACATTATGTTGTGCCAATTGATGAACAAGGTTTTGACCATAGTGAACCAGTAACAGCTCACCAAAAGCCAAGTGATAGTTATCTCAGTTTTCTCTTAAATGAATATGTGTCCATTTCTGTTGATCAGAGTGAGATTTTCTCTTGACATCTCATATCTTTTTTCAAGTATTCTTCTTCCGTTAGGTGTAATGATATATCAACAGCACACCATAAATAACTTAATGTAGACAAAAGAACATCAGCGTGAGATCCCAGAAAGGCCCCAGTCCTCTTTTACTAAGTTTTATTTTATATTCTTTGATGTTCATCAAAACTCAGTGTTCACTATGGGTTAGTTTTCCATCCTCTGAACAAACACCGTAGGGAAGTGTAGATGATTAACCCTATCCGTAGGCCCTGGGGTCATTTTGTACCCCCAGGGTTGTATTCTTCACATTTTAGAATACTTCTAGTCTGAAGATCTCTTTGAAACTTTCAGTATTTCTAAATAAATCGTTTTGACAGACTGCTGTGCAAAGCGTACGGATCGGATTAACGAGTAAATGTCCTCTTTGAAAGTGGCGGCACAGAGTTCCCCTTGTCGTATGGGTACGATAATAAAACACAACGTACGGATTGGGTTAAAGAAATTGGCAACACTATTATATGCAGAAAGGTGACTGAGGGTAATTTTTACTCCTGTTGACATATTACGTTGTTGATTCCCTCTCATATTCACCTTGTTAATAAAAGGTGCATAGCATAAACAAATTTCCTTGTGTGACTTTTAGAAATTAAGATTGCAGAAATCTATGAGAGTTCAATGAAAGCCCACATCATTATTAACTATGGGTTGTATCCTTTTATGTTCTTACCTCAGTAGATTTGTCACCATTGTCAGTAACATCTTCCAAAGTTGTATATAATGTTTATTAGTTAAAAACACCTTGAATGACCTTCAGAGATATTGGAAAATTTCCACCGATCTAATATTCGTAAGACTTAATGAATTGCAATTTTTGTAGATCAATTCTAGATTGATAACATGTTGGCCCGTTAATCAGTGTTTTGAAAGTAGGACTAAAGTGTCTGTAACAATTGTGTTTTCAGTCATCAGTTTCCTGCCTTTTGTTGTAAATGTTGAAAGATTGCTGTAATTATCCATTGATTGATCCAATTTCCTTGATCTCAAGGGACCAAACTAGTGAACTCCTTACAGTTATTCTCTGTTGTCAGTAGTTCCTTCCTGCCCCCCACCCACCTAGAACATATCTCACAAGCTGACAGCCTCTCCAGCAGGTCCTCTCCTCTGTGTAGCTCTCATCCATGCTTGTGTTTCTTCCCTCTGTAGGCAAGAAATGCCCAAAAGAAGAGAAGAGTAAGTTTCTACTCCTCACAGTATGTGCCCTCTCTTCCTTC